AGCAGGAAGCTTGCAAGGATTACCTCAGGCTTTGATAGAGCGTTTCTTGGGACATTACCCATGGCTCATCTTCCTGATAGGAAGTCTTTTGTATTGCAGTTTTAATGAGGCCCTCCTCCACAAACAGCAGAGTGTACATTTTAAAATGCTCTCCTGACATTACAATATTTCACATACACACACCACAAAAGCATCACTTGTGAAATAGTTCTCTTAAGCTCATTATCTTAAGTGTGTCATTTGCTTTACATATTATTAATACAGTTGTCGAGACTTGGTAGTAGACCAAGCAGTCATCTCCTGCTGCTTGCTGTCAAATTTAGGGGTTTGCTGTGTAACAAATACCATTCCTGCAAGCAGATGCCATCGTAACTGGACCCATATTACAGAGTACTAACATCGTGACACTCTAATTTCCATTCCTGTTTTCATGCATCCAATCACTCTTGGCTTTTTATACTACCATTGCAGAGAACAATATTCTGGAAATTATTTTCAATGCCTGCTAAGCTTTCTTTCTTAGAAGATGTCCTATTTGCAGGTCCTTAAGGTCATATTTATGAAATCCGTAATATTTCACAGGGAAACCAGATTGATGAAATTATTCTGCATTGAATCTCTGAATGCTAGTGTTATGTGCTTGAATGCAATTGCTCAACAGCCTTCATATTTCACAACTGAAAAACCTTAAGACTATCAGCAAGACTCAGTCTGTTCTTCACACCCTCTTCCAAATCACTAACATACACTGAAATAACACGACGGAGCCTTTAAGGTCCTTGCTCTTTATTTAGAGTGGAACTTACGAGGTTAAGTAAGGTGTGAACATAATATAGAACAGTATGTACTTGATAAGATTATGCTTTATTTATCCAATTATTGGCCTGCCTTTAGAATCACTTTTCTTGAAATGAGGCTCAATTTAATTCTCAGGATGTCCCACAGACCCTTCGGAGGGAATTTAATATCTTTAAGAAAAGGGTTTCCAAGCTATCTTACATATTTTGGGCAATGTCTGTGAGAGTATTCTTTCCTTCAGAATTCTCTAATGAATATAGAAGATCAAAATTTAGAGAAATATTCCAGACAAAGATAGGAATTATTCCCAGTGGTATATTTTTGTTCTAGATTCAACAGTTTGAGGCAAAGGCACTTTCTGTATTTCCCTTGAAGATAATTTCATAGTCTATCAGCTCCATTAAAATATATTTTAGATTTTTGTCTGAAGTACAGTTTCCTTAATCTCATCCCAATATTTCTAGTTCTGTTTCCTTGCACCACAGTAAGTAATTAGTCCCCAGCTCCCATAGGCAGTTATACTGTCACTTAGTGACTGTTTTGCCTACCTTCTACATTTGTAGATGGATTTAGTTTTTCTTTACAAGTCTCTTCAACCCTGCAATCGTTTTTGGTGATGCTCTTGAACATCTCTTTAGCTGTATACCTTCTACAGACCTTCACCGAAATGCGTTCCAGGTGTTGCCTCATCAGTTTAGATAAAGGTCACCTCCTGATTCAAATTCTATGAGTACAGCATTGCTGTTTGGTTTTGATAATGTATTGCATTTCAAATTCAGACATATATTTCTGTCTGCTACCACCTCTTTAATCATTCCCACTTGTCTCTTTCAGTTAAAGAAAAAAAATCACATTAAAAAATGCCAATTTACTTTCAGGTAAAAAAAAATATACAACAAAGTGTAAGTAACAGACATCAGTGCAACGTAGCACATGTCATCTTCCCAGCCTAAGACCAAACCTGCTATCAAAGGGTAAACCCTTAATTAATGTAAACTGTGCCAGGCCCTACTGAAGGTATCTTCTGGCAAAAAACAGCTGAGTATCTGTCCCCTCATTACTACTATCTATTATTGGACATTTGGGTTTCCTCTGACAATCAAATGAATTTTAAACATGAAACAAAGCAGAATATGTAATAAGTATCTACCGTACATATTGAAAAGCACAGTTTGGTACTTTGGATTTTCAAACCTGGTCATCAAAGTTTCAGTTCTAAGTCTCCAGCTTTCAGATCTGAGCCTTTAAATCCCTTTATTTTTTCTCTTTCACATTTATCACATTAAAATCTTTTTCCTCTCCGTATCCTTTACTGGTTTTAAAAAAAAAACTGCACAAACATTTTGAGCACTGCAGAGTTAAGAAAAAACAAGTGGATTATGTTTTATGTACAGTCAGAATTTCAAACTAAATCAAGGCAGGAGTTTCTGAAAGGTCCCTTCACCTGGATCTTCCTCACCATCTCCTCCTCATCTTCCAAAGGCTGCTGAAAACTTACTGTATATTATTGAGGCCAGCACATTTAAAACAATTTTTCTCATGATTTATGTGCTATATTTTGCCTTAGCTCTGCTAGAGGGAATAGTTGATTTTTCTGGGCACCGTGCCCAAATTATGTTTAATTTTGTCTACAGATTGTACAGTTTCCCAGATACTATACCAGAGATGAGCATTTTATAAGTTAATAAAACAATAAATAAAATAAAATCTGTTCTCATGTCTCCACGTAATAACTGGAACCTTAAAAGCCTTGCCCTGTTTTATAGAAGCTTCCCTTTGTTACAGTCAGTGACTAAAAATATATCAAATTATTTTGAAGTAATAAAAAATAAGGTAAATAGTTTATAGAATCCCCACAGAAACACTTCAAATTTAACCTTAAATTTCTTAAACAAATAGCTAACATAAAGTTCCATTACTGAATGCATTATGTATTAGTTATATTAAGAAGGAATCAGTTTGGATTCCAATACAATACTTCACATAATTATTTTATTTTTAGAATAAAAAGAGGAAGGAAAAACTTACTGTGTATTCTGATTTCCAATTGTCCATTTGTAAAAAAAGAATGATGAGGGAAAAGAAAAAAAAAGAAATGTGAAATAAAACAATGATGCAAGATCCTTACAGTAAACATACATTAATAATCAAAAAAATTGTGTCACATAATCTGCTGATTTATATTTGACTAAAGTCTATGGGACAGTAAAGGGTACAAATCAGCACAGAATCTAAGCACCTGACATTTTCTTTGCAAGGAAGTAATTGCACAGATACAACACTCCAGTTTTTACCAATCCATAGCCTATCATCTTTAATTCCTGATATCAGTCAATATAAGATGGAAAAATATATGCCGTTCAACAGGAGCTGTTAAAGCAACTTGGTATCTGTGGCTCAATATGTAACTTGGAGCTTCTGAAGCTACGCTAAACTATCCAAAAGTACAAGTCAGTAATCATTTCTGCTTTATTCCTTACCTGTGATTGTGTAAGGATAATAATTCCAAGCCTTCTCTGTAACATAAAATATTTTGGGAACAACTGCTCTAGCCCAGCTAGGCAGTTTGCTGAAAACAAAAAGAAAATATAAAATTAGAATATTGAGTATTGTAGAAAAGAAGATACTTCCAAACGTGTTCATAATTTGACAGGTGTTTCACAGGATACAGCAATACCTGGACTTCACAACAGTATTTTCATCTCATGACTATGCATTCTGTCTCAGCTTTCTCCACAAGCATATATGAAACCAAGTCTGTTTGTTCCCGTCTCAAAGTGAGCAAGATGGTGCCAGTGCAATAGCCTCTGATCAGACTTAAATTGAGGTTGCAGATTTCAAGAATTTATGGCCTCAAACCTTTGGTCATGGATGAGCTCAGCAGGTTAGACCATGCAAGGTGTATCTCTGTCACAGTATTCTTAACCACAGGGAGGCACTCTCTAACAAGAGGTAACGTGTGATTTCAGTCCACTTGGATCCCGATTCCATGATTTCTTCTTAGAGACTATTTCTTCTTCCTCCATATTCTCTGCTGGCACACAAACTCTTACATCAGCTCACCCAGCGCACAGTTCTTTCCACACTACCAACACCAACTCTTGAGTAGGAAGCTTTTATATTAAAATTAACAAATCACTCAAAACACCTTTGTGAGACTGGTAGGTAGTACTAGTCCCATTTTGGTGATGGGAAAAGTAAATCACAAAAGTTGAAGAGAATTAATGGAACTGATGTCATAGCTCAGAGCTCGGTCTGTCAAGAGAACTTACCAATGTGGTGGTACGACAGCAGTAGAATAAGAAATGAAAGATGTGGATACAGCACATGGAAAGGTCATTAAAGGGTAATTAAATAATACTATGGAAGAGTGGGAGCATTTTTTTTACCACGGATCCTGGGTCTTTCATTTCCAGAAATCTGGTCACTCAGGGTACCAAAGAAGTGATGAACAAACATACATTTTAAAAAGACAAGTTCATGAGAATTCATCTTTCAACCCTTTCTTAATGACATCAATTCTAATCACTGAAGCTGCCGGGAACAAAGGTGCAGTACTAGTCACTCAAAAGAAGGCAGACCTTTGGAGACCACAAGTATCACTGTACTTCAGGGACTCAGTTACAATCATGTTAGTCTGGTGATGTGTCGAGCAGATCACCCAGCCGAAGACTGAATCTTTACTGAACTGAAGTAGATGCTTTCAGACTTCAGATTTCCAAGTGTAAATGTTTGAAACAGTTACGTTTAGATAATTGTGTGCAGGAAGTAAATTAACTTTCCATATTAGCAAATTTCTGAGGAAAATACAGAGTTTGGATCATTAAGGCTTATTTAACCATGATCTACTACACATAAATATTGTATTTGTCCAGAGGCAAAATGCAGACATTAGTACATTATCTAAAGATTCAAAGTCAAGTGCATTGACTTTTGCTCCTTGATGACATTGCTCAAAACCAGATTCTTTTCTTTACACAAACCTTTCTTGTGTACGGTCTTTTAAGCAGCACTTTACATACTGCATAATAGACTTCACTGTATCAGATCTTTTGTCTGTTTTGTCAGCCTCTGTCAGTGTCTTTTTATGACTCTCTTTCTGCTCCCTCCCTTACCCCTGCTAAACTTTACTCTGATGCCTAAATAATAAATACCAGAGGATGCAGACTTTCAGCTTTTGAAAACAATGCTTCAGCAGG